TGCATCAACATCCTCCTACACTGTAGGGTCCCGTCTTCAGCTAGTGGAAACCTGCATGTCTTTTGTGAAGTCCATTGTAGTTGAAGGGGTTTAAGTGCTCCATTTTCCATTAGAACAGCGCCTGGGTTTGATGCAGTCTTGAATGCATTTATCTGTAGAGTGTGACAATGCTGCATTGTACAAATGGGGAATGGAGGCTGAGTGACATGACTGAGGTTGCACAGGGAACCAGTGGCAGAGCACAGTCTTGAAACCCAAGTACCTCAGGTCCCAGTCAGTACTCTGACCACCAAACCATCATCCCTGCTCCTGAGGTCAGCTAACCTCCGTAGGTTTATGCCACATGAAGATCTGGTGCTTGCTATGTAGAGTTCATCCTCAAAGTGCCCAGCTTCAGTGACGGCTCCAGATACCCTGTAGTTTTCTGCCGCCTTGTGTGATTTGGCATGATTTGCATGATGCACCAGAGGGTTCATTTTATAATGGTGAAGGATCATGCCTAGATGCCCTGGGGTCAAGGAAATACCTGTACTCTTATGTAGGAGGGTCACATCTGGATTGAAATGCAACTCTTACTGACCTTCTTGAGGTGGCTACAGCTCAGGACCTGCAGTTATTCTTGCTTTTCTTAGTTTTCGTCTTAAAAAATAAAAAAGTATAATGCCCAATTTGAAATCACACACACACACACACACTCTCTCTCTCTCTCTCTCTCTCTCTCCTCCCCCCTGTAACTCCATCTGCCTCCTGAAAGGGTTTCCAAGTGTGGAGGGGGGGAGTGGTCTTTGCTAGGCTGAGAAGTATTAAACATTGGAGCTGGACTTTTGCCTTTTCCTACACACACATGCAGACAAAGCACTTCAGCTTGGTACCCTCGAACTTCATCCTTGACATAGCACAGCCTGCGTCTTGCCACAAAGCCCCTTGTGGGCTTGGACCAGGAGCCCCTGCACTGAGATTTAAAAATCTCCAGCAGACAGGTGTAGACAACATGCCTGCTGCAGGTGGCTGGGGGCCTACAGCACCTGCTACAGCTGTGCATGCAAGTGCAAATCTCTCCCATGATTCATTTTTATCGTCTTCCAACCGTCTGCGTTTCTCCTTTCAGAGCTGCAGCAGTTCTACAGCAGTCAAGGCCGCTTCCCTGACAGCAAAGTCACACTGTGCTTTGGCGAAGAGTTCCCGGATGCAGTGCCCCTGCGCTGTAAACTCATCCTCGTGCAGGTAAGATTAGATATGGGGGAAGTTTACTACTTGACCTTCCCCCTTTTTGTCTCCCACAGCTCGGCTCGGCCTCTCTCCCCTACCCTGTCTCTTCTGCTTCTAACGTTCAAGGCCATCAAGCCTCAGAAGCGCAGAGCTGTATGCCACATGTGCGCGTATGTCCTGCAACTGCATGTTCAAAAGAGTTGTTTGCCCACACAAGCCGAAGGAGACAGCCATCCAGGCTGTCCATTTGAATCATTTGCACCCAAGCAGAGCCAAATTGCATATGCAATCATATTAATTGCATGCACAAATTGAAGTGCAAAATGGCATGCAGCCTTGCTGTCAAGCTTAGCAGTCTGACCTCACGTGACTAGGAAACATATCTTTCCTCCCCTTTCCCTTTGTAGTTTCCTGTACTTTGCACTGTCATTGCCATTTGTTAGGTACTTTTACCTTGCCCCTCATTCCTCAGCTGTAAGCTTTCTTCTCATCTCTTCTAGAAGCTGACAATGAAATGACTATAACTGCTTGAGTTGCCACAAGCAGGGTTATGGTTTCAAGCAGGGAAGCAAGTGTGGGCAGCAAATGGTGGTTTACAATGCCAAGTCCTTCAGGGTACAGAGGACTGAAGGAGCCCAGAGCAAACCTTCTAGGTGGTGAATTAAAAACTTAATGGCAGACGATTGTATTGGCTCTAAAAGGGCTTCCAAAGCTTTTAAATGACAAGCATCTTCGCTTTCTCATCTTTGGGAGTCATCAAGTAAAAACACCCCAGTTCTTGGTGCTACTAAAGCAGTGACCAGCATCTCCAACCAAAATTAAGCTTCCGCTCTGCTTGGCACTTGATCTCCAGTGATCCCGGGACTGCCTTGAAATAAGCTGCACCTACTTATATTGTGTGGCAGGAGTTTGGGCTGGGTCAGGCATACCCAACAGTGCTCTCAAGAGCACAGCTGAGATCCCGGGTGTATGCCCAGGGATGCTCCAAAAGGCAGCCATGTGGGGCTTATTGCTTGCTGGTGGTCTCAGCATTGCTGTAGCAGTCATAGAGAGACACTCCTGTCTTTGAAGTGCATTTAAATACGCAAGGCAAACCAACAGCAGGGACAGGTGCACAGCTTACATCTGTGTGTAGCAGTAAACAGACAGCACAGACCCCTGACCTAGGAGACTTGGTCCATCCGCTGGAGACTGACCTTTATTTCCCTTGAAAGAATTAGATAAATGCAAGAAATAAATGACACCAGGTTTTGTCCGTGTTCATCCCAGGGTAGCAGTTTGCTGAAGGCAAATACCTGCTCACCTAATGGTACGGTACAGTAACAGCCCCATCCCGTGTGAGCCCCCTGGCATGGCTGCATGCCTGTCCAGTCTTGATCCCGACTTACCCCAGCGTGATTTACACTGGTTTGTATTTTATGTCTGCTCGTAGCCAGAGAAGGGCAGCTGAGGCATAAGGGGATTTAGTGACTTGCTCAAGATCATTGAGTTGTAGGCCAGTGTCTCCCTACATAAGAGCATCCTTCTCTCTTTTCCCAGTTCCTCTCTTGAAGGTTTTCCTGGTCCGCTGGTACCTTTCTATCTGTGCCTTGTGTAACCCACCTCTTGCTTGTAGCACTGATGCGCTATACCGCAAGCATTGGCTTGACTGTAGCAGTTGTATTGGTTAAACCATTAATAGCTAGTTCAGCCAGCAAGGTATTCGGGAGCAAAAGGAATCGGAGACTCTAAACCAGTGGTTCTTAACTGTTTTGGACTTGAGATGGCCCTTGCTGGACTCACAGCCCCCTCCATAACTCTTGCGAGTCGAGTGGCATCCAATTTAAAAAACGAATTTACTTATGGCAATGCATACCTCTTTCCATAGAGGCTGGTTGATAGGGAGTCAGGAATTGTCCAGGCAGGGACAAGCCTAAGCCTGGCTCGGGCCTTGTGGCACCCTTCAAAAGCCTCCACACCCCGGTTGAGAATCGCAGCTCTAAGTTCTCTCATTTTATTTAAGCATCTTGGTGGTCTTTTCTTCTGCCATAGGTGGAACAGGTGTTTGTTAGGCAGCTGGTGGAAGAAGGAGGAAGATCTTACAGCAGCAGCCCGATGTTTCCAGCCACTGACGAGATGCAGCCCGAGCAAATGTTCCGGATCATCCAAGATATCTGTGGGCCGCATCAAAGGCCGCTCTTCCGAGAAAGTCAACAAATCGCTGTCTGAGCAGTTTTGGGTTTTTTGTTTTGTTTTTTTTAAGTGTCAGGGTTAGAATAAGTCCTTTCTGGTCCTGGCACTGACTAATCTTTGGAAAGCTTTCCAACTGTGCATCAAGAAGCCCAGAGACATTCATTGTGTACTTTTATTTTTTATTTTTTGATGCTGTTCATGGCCGAGATGTTCCAATAAACCCAGCGATTTCAAAAGGTTCATTTATTAGCAAATGGGCTAGGTGAGACCCGTCCATTCTGGAGAGGTTTGCCTGCTGATCCTTGGCTTTTGCGCACACAACTGTGTGCTTTTTATACTGTGCTTTGTCGGCATCCAGGATCAGCAGAAGGCGGGACCTTGGATTTCTTCAGAATGAGTAGAAATCACAGTACTGCTGGGACTTTCCGGTCACCTTTTGGCACCCCACACATCTAGCAGTAGATCTTAGCTTTGTTAGGATCAGCTGAGCTAGGATGGTTTGCATCTGCTGAGGTTCTGCCCCTCTCTTTTTAAAA